ATGTGCTTTTCCTGGTGTGAGGATCGTTTCGGCGTATGTTCCTCCGGCTGATGAGGTCATTGTGCCGTTTACTAGAACGTTGTCTGCTGTTGGAGGGCCCTTGGCGTGGACTGCTGCCGCGTTTGCTGTGAAGGTAGTGGCGTGGAACCAATCAGTTAGTGGCATTGCACCAAGATCAATGTCCCAGTCCGCTGTTGAAGGCCCTCTGATGATCATAGGTCCCCAAATACCATCACCATATTGCACCGAGTAATGCGAGTGGTACCACTGCGAGGATTAGTCAAGATTTAATGATAAAGACTTCAGTGAACTTACAGTAGTTCCGTATTGTGTAAGTTTGAACTTGTACACCTTTTCGCTACCTGGTGGAATTGGACATTCGGTTATGCCATTCACACCATCTTGCTCATTCGACCCAAGTTGCCGTATGCCATGCCAATGTAGACCTGTACCATTATTTTGGGCGTTGTTTTTGACAGTAATCTCAAGATTATCTCCCCAGTCAGCTATTATAGTCTACAAAGTATTAGTAACGTCCTTCCAGATCATAGGTGGACACATACTGGGCCTGGAAATTGACCGTTTATATGGAACATCTGTCTCTCGAATCCATCTGGTGCGCCAGTGACATTGGTAATGGTCAATTCGTACTTGACTGTCTTTCCCGTATCTGGCCACTCTTCATCCATGTTGGTATCGATGTCAAAGTCGCCCCAACATCCTCTCGTTTGAGGACCATAATTACAGCTGGCGATAGAGCCATCTCTTCTCCTCCTGTGTCCACTATAAAGTCCCGTCTTTTTCCATGGAACTTCGAGATTCCGGGGGCGAACCTCGGTAGAAGGTACAACGAACGAGACAGCAGAGGGTAACAGAAGCGCCAACAAGGTGCCCACTCTCAACGTAGACAGGACCATTATGAATTAGTAAAAGGTGAAAGAAAAGAATGCCAGTGTACCTGGACCAGGCAATGCTCAAGTTCGTGACGTAACAAACAGAAAAAAAGGCAAAGGCTGGACAGAAGAAGAGGGTGGTACAGATGGTTTTATCTTCAGCATTACAAGCGGTGCCCTGCCTCGGTAGCGGGCCAATAGCTAGCTCAGAGTAGTAAACACCACCGTCCAGAAGAGAACTTGCACCGCTAGCAGGTGGCATGATGCCTCCATGTCAAACCTGTCGCGCGAGCTGGGTGACAAGTGTCTTGGATCGCCATTTCAAGAATACAGACGGGCGCAGCACACCCACACAAGAAGCGGTATGGAAGCCTGACTTAGTATGGCTGACTGCTCCCCTCCCAGAAGGAAGAGTGAGCGTAAGGGATTATAATGCATATCAGCCCTAAGTCGACCGACGGAGAATTCTCAGTGGACAGGCCTCGAGGAAAGGCTTCGGTACCATTCGTTACACGAGCTGTATGCAGCTAGATGTACCGAATGATGGCTTGCACATCCTTGAAGTACATGTGGAGGGACGGCTTGGATGCTCGGCATACGGCCTGCAGCTGCAAGTGCTGAGTCGCACAGCCACTTCAGCAGGTAGTCGAGCTGCAGTAAACGGTGATGCGTTGTGGATGTGCAGGAAAGCGGATCTCATGAGGTAGATTGGTTTTTAAATACAGGGAATACTGTTGTTGCTTCGCAAGGCTACTGGTGAAGTGAGCGTCTAAAGCTTAGATCGTGACCTCAACATCGATGTTGTTCCAGTCGGATATTTCTCACTGGCCAGCGGCTCGTCTCCGAAGTGGAAACCTGTCCGGGTAAAACATTGTCGATGGCGTCTACACGGTGGTCGAGTTTGAAGTTGAAAGCCTTGTAGGCGACCTTGGTGCTATTTCCACAATCTCTAGGCGATTTCCGGTTAGTCGACTGCGGCTGGGTCGGAGTCGTATGAGGGGTTCCGAACTTCTGGTCCGACCACAACATCACCACATCGTCAAACTGACCTCTGAGAACCATATTCTAGCCAGAAAGCGGTAGATACCAGTCCAGAAGCGGAAAATACTTTCAGCTATGATCACCATCTCACCGACTGTGCCGTACCGTTCTTATGCCGCTTTCAGACTATTGATATGCAGCAGACTTGCGCTGGCTGCCTTGGATAGCAAATTCCGTATCTATGGGGTAAGCGAAGGCTTTCTAGATTGATCTTGTGGTTCTTTGATGTTGCCACTGTGCAAGCCCGGTGTGGAAGCGGCTCGATGTGACTTGGGGGGGAAAGTTGACTTCGGAAGTAGGAAATAAACAACACATCGACTGTACCTTCCACGGAGTCTAAACAGTGATATCATTAATATAAAAGTCTCCGAGGCGAAGAAGCCACGGTAGTTGCTCGCTACCGTCGCCCTTGATGGTGGTAAGCATACATCTGTCCACGTGCAGGGTATTACCACTTTCCGGTACTAGACATCGACAGAAGCATTTATTGTCTTACCGCTCTGTTTCCAGGCTCTCTGGGGATCTTACGATAACTTACATTGCCAGCGAACAACGCCACAATATCGAGGCGCATCTGCTGACTTGCATACTGCAGTAAGACGCAGCAGCGTTCAGCTCACGATCCTTGTGCAGTTGTCTTGCAGAGATTCAGCCTTATGGCCCTGTTTACCGAGATACGATGGTGCTAGGAAAGATAGGATTGCAAATCTCATTGTTAGCGCAACTTGCATGTTTACAGACTTCCACTGACCTTAGCATCTTACCACCGAGATATACATTACGTGATTGCACTCTTGCTACCCCAACACCCTATTTCGCATAAAAGTCCCCCCGTGCTGACACCAGTCATCAATACGAAGAGACTCTGTTCTCGTCCACTGCTGCACCCCTGCAACAAACGATACGGAGCAACATCCTCAACTCACCACCGGACATTCGGTCATTGCCCAACTCCCCAAGGCAAGAATGCCGGGACAACAAGTACCATCACCAAAAAAACCGCCTCGTATACACATATCCCCGACCCTCCGTTCTGCCACCTATGCACCGACATCGCAGCCCATGTGAGTAAATCTCCGGCTCCCGGGCGATCACCAACAACCAGTCAGCCCACGCCCAAACAAGAAGTTAGCAAGACCCGAAATAAACGCGCACCCAAACGAACCCGCATACCGCATAGGGACATGCATGAACGCCCACGAGCCCACTCTTTCCATCCAACCGGCCGATCAATAGAGATGATCAGCTGAACTGCTGCTCCACTTGGGTAGAGATAACGATCTACAGTCGGGAAATGAGCGTTTGGCTGGATTGGGATAGAAGAGGCGCGTTGTGCAAGTGTTCTGGGTGGCTAGGAGGGCCGATCCGTGGTGAGCGTACCTGTGGCTTGATGCTACGTTGATGCCGTCATAGGGGTTGTGTTCTATTGATCGTCGTTGATATGGAGTCGGGTAGGTATATGTAGTAGGTAGATGTTTTGCGGTGAGGATTAGATAGGCTGTATTATTTATCTACCTAGATATTATGACGGTGACTTGAGATGTTGTTACAGTTGTAGTCATTATCTAGATAGCCGTTGCTACGCAAATACACAGTAGTAAAAAGTTCCCTATTCCCTCCGCGGACGTTCGGTCCCAGAATGTGGAGTCCACCCACAATGCAAGCCTTGCTAAGACAAGGATCGACCAACAAGTATTTCGGAGAATTCGAACTGCATTATTCTCATGCTCAGAAACCTATTCCCTGTCTCTCTCCGCGGACGTTTTCGTCAAATGCATGCAACCAGGATATCGAGTTTACCCCCAAGCCTTGCCCATAAGACAAGGGTCTACATAAACAGTATCCATCATCCGCATGAGAAATATATTCCCGATCATACCCATACCCATACAGTACATATATCCCCCAAACCCTTTACCCCTATAAAGCAAAACCCTCCAACCGAGCATGTGTATGTGTACCCTAGCGTAAATGCAAGGCACATGGCAAACCCGTCTCACGTACCACAACCACGCACGCATCGTAACGTCGTTCAACGTACTACGACCACGTCGTCATCAAGTACTTGACATGCTGTGAACCCCTCTAGTAGAAGTACAACAGCCCATCTAGCATACCTACACCACGGCAAACAAGCGGCTGGCTGCACCAACTCAACGCTCCTGCTGCCGCCGCCACCCGCCACTGAAAACAACATGCAGAACGTTAAATGTTAAATGTTCCGCGGTTGTGGCGTTTTTTGTTCCGTCTGCCGTGTTCCAGCGCCTCATTCACACTCCCTGCTCCAGATGTATCCATCTCCCACTCCCCTCCTCTCCTCTCCGCGGAGCAACCCAAAGAGATATGCACCTGCACATCCCTATGTAGTCTTGCATACCGGTCGGTACCCGATCGGCAGCTAAACATGCAGATCCGCAACAGTATGTACTGTACTTAGCGATAGGCGGTAAACATTGGCCTAAGCTCCGCAGAGAAATTAAGATAAACACACTACGGAAGCTGGAAGCTTGTGTATTGCTTGTTGAGGAGAAGCTTGGGCTACGGTGCAGGTGGGTATCCATATGTACTAACTTGAAGGGCTCGGTCGCTCGGTCGCTCGGTCGGGCTGGGTAAGTAACTGGGTGGCTGGGAGGTATCCACTAAAGCAACATTTGGGTTTGGTGACGTATGTAGATGCGATACTCACCGCGCTGGGGCTGGGTAGTGCACGTGAAGGGACACGTGATTAAGTGTATAGGTAGGTGGTTAGGTGGGTGCTTCTTGGTTGTTGAGACGAGGATAGCATCAGAAAAAAGAAAAAAACGGGGATGAGATTGGGAAAGGAGGTGCAAGGGTACGTGTGATATGGAGATGTTTGAATCGTGAATTGTGGATGGATGAATCCGACTACAGATCTTCTGCTCATGCTATTTCAAAATACCCGTCATATCACACATGGCAAACTGGTCACGTCATATCTTGGCTGCCTGCCCACCCACGCCCATGACTGCGCACCGCAGTATATACAGCAGCAGCTAAACGACAAGCCGCCGACACCTCAACACTCGCACCCACCTAAACAAATACCAAACAACCATTCTGATTGCTGATCCGCTCATCAAGGTTAATCTCCCTCATCCGCCAATGACCCTCATGTTCCAGCTCACCCTCGAGCTTCTGTCCACCATCCGCAAGCCGCATATTGCGTGCCGACGACCCGAAGCCGCCTCCAGACCGAGTGCTGCCTCCACCGGGTATCTTGAGGTTCTGGCCCGGCCAGATTTGATCGGGGTTGCTGATGTTGTTGTGACGGGCGAGGTCTTCGAACGAGCAGTGCGAGAAGCGTGCTGCAATGGCGCGGAGCGTGTCACCTTGTTGGACCGTGTAAGTGTTTTCTCCACCACCGCCGCCGCCGCTGCCGCTGGAGCCGGACCAGCGGAAACTACCGCCGTCGTTTTCTAGGTACCGGTTTAGAGGCAGGGAGGAGGCTTGGTAGGATCCGTCTGTGCGGAGACACTGGGCGTGTAGTGTGTAGTCGCCGTGGGCATCGAGCCGGACGTCGCGTGAGGAAGCAGAGAAGTTTCCGCCAAAGTCGCCGGCGGAGCGCTGGGAACCACCGGTTTGGTGTTGTGGTTGTCCTCCATGTTCTTGGCGGCGCTTTTCTTCTTCTTCGCGACGCTTGCGCTCTTCTTCGGCTTTCTTCTCGTCTTTGCGCTCGTGCCATTTGTCTTCGACGGCGTCTTGGCCTTTGTGGCCGGCGATGGCTCCTGCGAGCACGCCTATGACGGTGCCCGCGGTGCCGTGGCCGGCTTTTCCTCCTAGAGCGTGGCCGCCGTATCCTCCTGCTGCTGCGCCTGCTATGCCGCCCATGATGCCGCGGTCACCTTCCGGGTTGCCCTCGCCTCCGTACATGTTTTGTTGGCCTTGGTTGTGTGAGTTGCGGCCGGAGTTTGAGGAGTGGGATGCAGCTGAGGGCATCTGTTGGTATTGGGGTGGTGCTGCATCATAGCCTCCTTGCGGGGGATAGCCTGGGGGACCTCCTTGAGGGCCTCCTTGACCGCCGTAGTAATCGCTGGCTTGTCCGCCGTGGGGAAGCTGGTGGTGGGGAGGTTGCTGGTATCCACCGCTGTTGTTGTTGTTGTACTCATTCTGTCCATATCCGCCTTGCTGCCCGTATCCACCTTGCTGTTGATGTCCTCCCTGCTGACCCTGGTTGTAACCACCGCCTCCGTAGCCGTCGTAGCCAGACATGATGCTGTTTGAGTGTAGGAAACCCTAGGTGTTGAGTGTAGGAGAAGAATAGGAATTGAGAGCTGAAGAGATAATTGCACAATAAGTAGAAGAAGTCAATGTTCAATCGTGTTGCAACGGGGGGTTTCTATATCAAAGAAAAATCCAACGCTACAGTTATTTATAAGTCACCCCGCCAACCCACCATGCTGGGTCGTACCAGCCTTTGCATCGATTTCATCATGCCACGATGCGTGTCGGAGTCGCAGCCGCAGCCACAAGAGTCGTCACCGCCACTTCCTGACGCCGCCTCGGTGGGGAAAGCTACGTTGGCCGACCCCACCTCGCCCTCTTGCACCAATCGGCGCTTGCACAGGTCACGCCGCTTGTGACACGGCCACACTTGGCGCGCAGACCCCTTATAGCTCAGCCACATATGCGGATCGCAAGCCGACGATGACGTAGAAGGTCAGACAAACCGAATCGTAAATGGTGACGACGCGGTCAGACTGTAGATCGTGGTCGAGATTAATCAAGTAGGCGCAATGACCGGCTAAACTTGACAAGTTAATTCAAATCATGCAAACTATGCAAACCATGTCAGCTAGTGAAGGAGGATGAACTTTTGTTGAATACTCTAATGTTACAGATGACACACTATGCTGATTGTATACACAAACTGAAAGCGCTAAACAAGATGCTTCATGACGAAAAAGAGAGACATGAGGGTGCGGATAACGATGAATGATTACGAAGGCTGTATGTACAGGAATTGAACCAGAGATATTGGTAAGAAAGTTATGTATGTTTAATATAGACATGATGCTCGAATGTGTGTCGAGACTTTGTGGCATTGCTGCGTCGGGTGCCGTGGCTTGCCCGGCGTGGTGGAGATCGGTGATGACCCGCCAATGGGTAGGTGCAACAGTATCGTAACGAGGAAGAACAATCAATACGTGAAGGCCTCTTCAATAAAGTCCACTGCACCCTCGGTCAGGAAAGGCCTGACGGCGTGCCGGACCCCATCGGCCATGCCACCTGATGCGCACACAGTGACTGCCATGGCGCCGACCCGGTGCTGAACCTCCTCTTCGATCAGGGCTGCCATGTTTGGCCTACCGCTGTACATCTTGACTGTCTCGCTACTGCTCTCGACGCGACCCTTGGGTCTTGAGATGAAGAGCTTGATGCGGAGACATTGCTTGCGGCCCTTCATGCGGAGGACTTCGTCCATCCAAGGTCGTACCCATTCAAGGCAATCTGAGGTAGGAACAGTCCAGATTAGGACTACTCTCTGTGTGGCAGTGGTACCGTTGTTGTAGCCATTGACGAGGTGCTTGAGGTACATGACTTGATGTGTGATGCCTACACCACCCGCGAAGAGCACAGTGGTACCGTAAGAGTCAAGGCTGTGGTGGCCACCGTATGGTCCCTCGATGAAACCCCAGGTGGTGAATTGCTCATTAGGGCTCTTGCATGCCTTCTCGTACATGTGCCGGGTAAGACCTGTACGGGCACGGCACACGAAGCTGATTTGCTTGGACTTCTGGGGTAGGCCGTGCAGCGCGAGGACGTCACCTTCGAGCGTGGGAAGCGTCATTTCCTTGGAATCTGCTGTTAGGGTGGCAGCCCAGGCGATGGAGAAAGGATGCGAAGACCAGAGAGACAAGGCCGGCATCCACATGTGTACGTGGCAACCTGGGCGAGGAGTCCATTCGCGGACCATGTTGACGGTGAGACGGACAGCCTCTCCAGGCATGGCTTCAACGGTGATGGATGATCGCTGCTTGAGGCTGAATCCGTAGTAGAGAATGGAGATCCATCGGCAGACCCACTCTGCACCCCAGAAAAAGATGACCAAGTGGAGCCATGGGACTTGGGGAAGGTTGTGCAGGGCCAAGTGCTTGTACAGGCCGACGAGACCTACTATGACGCAAACGCGGTGGATGTTGAGGAAAGTCTCGTAGAAAGCATGGCGGAAGGGTGACCAGGCCTGGATGCCAATAAAGGCGAAAGCCGCAGTTCCCACCATACCCCACCCGTAGGAGCCTTCGTGGTGCAGGCCATCAATGACAGCGTCCCAGCCGGCTGCGTGGGCGGTGTTGTACAACCAGGCGGCAGTGTGAACAATGGCCTCGACGATGGTAATGCGCGCAGCCCAGCGATGGAACAGGTTGAAGTCATCGTACGAGACCTGGAGAAGAGTGATGAAAGGGTTGTTGCGGAGGGCGAAGAGAATGGTCGGGATGAGGTTTAGGGCGGCGAGTGTTCCAGAGCGTCCACGAAGGGCAGCGAGCGTTTCCTTGTGGTCAAGGACATCGTAGGGTAGCGCGGCGCACCAAGCAACGTTGAGGCCGACGTAGACGACCAAAAGGATGGTGTGCCATCTTCCTGGCAGTGTTCCGTTGTCGATTGCGCTGCTTATTTGAAACTGGGCGTTGTGCTTCTTTTTCCAGAAAGGGGCGACCAAAACATGTCTGTTCAACCACGGCCACCAGGTGGTTCGATTTGTTTCCCAGTACTTTTGTTTCGGGTTTCCCATTGCGCTGAGATGCCGGCTGTGTTTCCACCACATGTTTGATATGCGCAGAATTAGGAGGAGGCCGCACATGGCCACGAGCATGTACAGGAACATGTCGACCCACATGTAGTTCCCCCGTTGGTCGACGCCCTCGAGGCCATATGAGTATTTGAGCTCTTCGAATTCGGCGGCATCCCAATCTGATAAGAAGTGGCGCTTCGTGTTCGGTTGTTGCACTCTCCGGGAGCGGGTGAGGGTTGAGAAAGACATTTCTCGGGTAGAAGTGTGTGTGTGTGTGTGTGTGTGTGTGTGTGTTTTGGGTGTCGTGAAAGACTGTGAGTGAGCAAGTGCTCACGAAGGAATATTATCGCAGTTGTCGGCGGTGCAAGTAAAGCGTGATGCGATACGATGGGTGAATGACAAAGTGCACTACCGGGTTCTTCAAAAGCTTCTATTGAAGAAGGGAACAATAGTGCGACAACGAAGGTACCCTTGGCCCACGGGCGCGTCGTGAAGCTATAGCGATGCGCTGGCTTGACAAAGTGGGTACGGGTAAGAAAGATGTGGTCACCGCGAATGCATTACACAATGTGTCGATGTAGGGTCGTTGTTGCTACACAATGGTTCAGGAGGTGCGACAATGCACTGCACGTCGAAAACGAGTGAAATGGCGAAATGGTCTTGTCGATCGACGCGGCGCAGTCCAGTCCGGTATAATTAAGTGAGCGAGGGGCGAGACTGTCAATAGCGGGTGTGGCGATGGTAGAGGAGTGAATAGGGCCGAGGCGGAGTTAAGACGACAGGGACAGGTGGGAGTCAGCAGAGGGAGAGAGAGCGAGAGTAAAGCTTTAGGTTCCCGTAGCGAGTGAAGAACCGTTGGACAGGAAAAGAATGTACAGAAAGCAACGACAGGGACGACGAGGCGTGTAGGGAGAGCGAGGGAAACAGTGGATATGAAGTCCCGGCCATGGGGAGAACAGAGAGGCTTTCAGCAGGGGTGTGCAATCGGAACAGACGGGCGATTGGCTCCGCATTGCCCGCCCAGTTAGGCGCGTGAAACGAGACGGAGGAAGTTGGCCAGTCACCGCGGCGTGCCTGGATGCGCCATGAAACCACAAGCCTCGAGCCCCGGTGAAGACCCGTCATTCGACCATTCGACCAAAAGCGGGTGAGACCGAGCTGGAGCTTTCCCTAGGCGTGCCGGGTCCCGGTCGTGCTGATGCTGAGGCCCGGGGTCGCGATTTGTTGTGTGCCTGTGCTGGACGTGTGTCGAGTCGAGAGGAGCGAGTCCAGTAAGTCCTTACGGACTAGGCAGACAGACTCACCGTCTCACCACCGTCACCGTCATATCGTTCTTCAAAACACTTTCAATCTACCATCATCTACCTTTCAAGGCGGCCGCCTGCACAACCTCCGCCCGGTGCTATGCCGTCCTGCCGTTCTACCGTCGCGGCCGCAACTGATCCACCAGCAAATGACATGGGCGGCTCCAGACCTTTGGCGCCTAGAGCGAACAAGACCAAAAACAGCAAGCGAGCTGTCTTCATCAGTAAACCTGGAGAAGATCACGCACACAGGCTGCCACGCGCTGTCCTAGCTGTTGGTGAAACCATCCACTATCGCGCGAACCCGTCTGTGGGCGCGCCTCCCACGAAAACTGAGAATCGAGCTACCGTCGACCCATTGTGCCGTCGGACATCGGACCAATCCTTCCTGTACCTTGTTCGGATTAACCATTTCATGCATTCAACAACTGCGCCACATGCACGACACGCATCTCTCCACAAGCCTCCCGTAGCTCCCTTAGGCCTTGCGGCGGCGGCGTCGCCGGTTGCAGGACTGGCTAGCAACCGCGACCAGGTGGCCGCTGTCACTACTTAAAATCATCCTGATCTCATGACTACCTCACTGAGCGCTTCCATCGCTCTTTTCCTTCGTATCGCTCGTCATGCAGCCCAGTCAATATTGCCAATCATTGCCAAGCCCACCCACGCGCGAACCGTCCACCCTCGTCCCCTGTAACAGAACCGAGCCAATTTCAAAACATGGGTAATCCTGCTCACCTCCAGATAAGATTGCTATCCACCAAGACTCTCCCCTCTGTTGCCCAACACTACCGTAACCCGGGCCTCGGGAACAGAGCGGCTCGAACGGGTTTGATGAACTGCTAACGAACCGGAGAAATTCTGAACATCACCCTCCCTCCGTGACCATGCTCGCATCATCTCCCCATCATATCCACCACCATTTCTTTTCGACTAACAATAGATGAGGGGCATTGTTGGCGCTCGCATGGCCGCATCACATGCTTGAGGTACCCATTGTACTGTTCGGTCTTTAGCGAGCTACCACCTCACGTAAGTAGTTTCAAAACACGCAGCGCCGGGCTGAAACTTCTCTTTTCGTCCTTTGGTTCCGCCAGGATTCTCGTCATCACGGAAAAATCTCACGATAGCGGTTCAAGTTGAAACAGAAACTGCCTTGGCCTTGCTACGCACCGTCCCCACCTCCGATGCAGTCGCGGAAAACGCATGGCACTGGCACATGTCAAACCAGCTGTCACAGGCGTAAACGACGGTCCCCCAATTAAAAATTTCTGCGCATGAACAGCAGCCACTGCACATACATTACACCCACCGCATTACTCGGACACCATGCATGCCGTCATCGTTGGCTCTGTCGCACACAAATAACCACCCCGGTCCCTGTGCCACGAGGTGAGCACACTGCTTTGGACGAAACAGTGAAACCCGCAATCATTTCCCTTCTTACATACCTTATGCTGGTTCCCTTCATCTATACAACACGTGGAGCCGAGGGTTCTCCCGCTCAGTGTATGCACTTTGCCGTTAATGGGCATTGATGTTGAAGACTTATGTGCAGATACGGTTTCACGTTGCTTTGATCAGATTTCACGAACCACAACATCGCAGGTGACGTACCCCGCATCAGCAGGTAAGATCATATGAACAGGTCGAGTAAGTACAGCAAGGACAAGAATACGAACAAGAAACAGATCTGTGCGGGTATCTCATCAGCGTACGTAGCGGCGATGCAATGACATATTCCGCACCCAAGAGATGACATCCCAGTCCAACTCACCACGAACCAAACCAACCGTAGCCAAGCAAAACAACTAAAACGGGGAATTTCCTCGCAGAATTTTTCCATTCATAAAATCAACACCAACACTAACAATACCTTGCCGCAAATCCTACCAAACGCCAAACTCACCGCATCCCAAGTTCGCCAAGTCACTATACCTATAAAAAATTCCGCCGAAAACAAGGCTCCCTTTCTTCCTTGCACTTCAAATCCGAACCCATCTTGGTACATATCGGTAACTCTACACCGCCACCCGTCGACACCGACATCAACCACCACCCCTTCATCTCGCTACCACAACACACGCACACGCAGGAACCTCCGAGATACAAGGGTTAGGTTCTCGATCCCGTCACTGTGTACAAAGTGGGTAGTGGAGCGGAGTGGGGCGTTTTTCTGCTTGTACAGTAGCTTGCTAAAAAAAAAGGTAACGGCTGGGTTACGGTAATGCTCGTCATGTCCGGTTGTTGTTTTATGTGAAACATGAGCTATTGTGGCGCTTATCTTTTTTGAACTTGTTTTTTATGAGGTGAAGGGGGGGGGGGGGGGGTGTCCTTGATGGAGGAGGAGCAGGAGGATTTATTGAGGTGCTGTGTCATGTTGCTGTTCATGTCATGCACATGGATGTGGTTCGATGGTGGTGGGATGGTGTTGTGAGGACGGGATATGGAGAATTGAGGTGGGATGGGATGGGGTGGGGTGAGTGAATGTGTGGCGGGTGTGCTAGGTTCACAATAATGATGCCAATGATAATGGCTTGTCCTTGTGTCCTTGTGCCCTATGCCCTTGGATTCTTGGTGTCGGTCAAATCTATTCACAAGCACATCCCATCAAGCCTCTAAGCGCCCTCCGTTCATTAGATACTCCCAGATAATCACTTTTCTAAATTACACGCTCGTGCCCTAAGATTTCAACCTCACAAACATTTGCGTCTATTTTTGCATTCTTGTCGCCATATGCCTTCTCACTCTCTGCATACTCGTATCATCACTCACCGCTCATTCTCCAATCGACGCCGTAAAGAGTGTAGTGCAGTCACAACATTGAATTGTACATTAAATCGACGAGAGTAACCCCAGCGTGTGTTTAATAACTTTAAATAGTTATTGTTATCCCAACTTCACCAGAGGGCCATGTGTACAACCCACAATCCCGCTATATCACGGCGAGAAACAGGCTGAATATACCAGTAGAAAGTGTGAACAAGTCACACCATACACCCATACACAACTAAGCAAAGAGACATATTTTCAAAAAGAAGAGTCTTGAGAGAACACGATATGCACAAAACATACGCACGCCATAAATGCATTCCACAGTTCACATTCCACATAAACGCTCGTCTCGTTACCCTGCATCTCCATCTCTCTAGACAAAAAACCCCTCTCCCTTCACTTCCCCTTTCCTCCCCATCCGCCTCCCTTCCTTCCCTTCCCACCAAACATCTCCATCACATCACATCAACACATCTACCCCCCACGACTCCCCCCAGCCCCAGCCCCACCACTACCCCCACCCTGCCCCTGCGGCCCACCAGCGAAATTCATTTGCGCAAGTACATCACGCCTCCACCCCTCATCCGCGCTCTCACTCTCCGTAGAATCACGGTTCGCAACGCGGAGACCACCGCCACCGCCGCCACCGCCATACCCGCCTTCGTCCCTGCTATCAAACGACGAGCCGTTGGTTACGTAGCGGTCGAGACCTTGTTGGTCGCCGCCAGCGCCATTGTTGTAGCTTTGGCTATCCATTGTCCAGGTTTGTTGCTGTTGCTGGTCTGGGTTATCGTATGAGTGGTAGGACGTGTTGTTGTTGTTGTTGTTGTGGTTGTTGTCGGTGTAGAAGTCGCGGGTATGCCATGTACCACTGTTGTTATGTTCGTCTGTGGGGCCGGGGCGGAGGACGTCTGGGACGGGTGCACCGCCGCCGCTCATGCTGTTGGAGTGCTGCTGTTGTTGCTGGGGGTGGTAGGTGTTTTGGTAGTTACCCGGCTGGTGAGCGCCAGATTCATCGGGAAAGGCGCCGGCGTGCTCGAGCGGCAAGTAGTCTGTTGGACCGGCTTGGTGGATACGCAAGTCGGGGAGGAAGGAGTGGCGGTTGTCTGTTGGGGTGCGGTCGCTTGGGTCGTGGAGTTCTATCCCGTGGTTTTGGCCTGGTGGTGCGTTTTCGGGGATGCTTTGACCGTGGTATAGTGGTTGCTGACCTGGTGGTGGTGTCATGTTTTGCTGTTGCTGCTGGTGTTGTGATAGCGACAGGCTATTCATTGTGGTCGTCATGCCTAGTAAGCTTGGTGCTCGTGTTGAGTTTGCTTTTAGACTTGATGGCCCCATTCTGCCCATGCCCATCATGCTTCCCATACTTGCCCGTCCGGCGCCTGGCTCTTCGCTGATCATGTGTGCATCTGAACCGTTTGGATCGCGGATGCTGTATTGTGCGATTGAACGCATTTTTCTCGTTACCCACCCGGCTAAGATCTTGTGTCGTTGCTTTTCGCCCAATCGTGACCGGTGGAAATCACCCTTTTGTACAAACGAAACTATGTCGATGACAAGTTGGTGTTCGTTTAGGATGGCGTTGACAATTACGGGGACCATGCTTGCGAGGAAGTTGCGTCGGAAAATCTCCACCACAATGACTACAAGACCACCTGCTTGAAATACGGCACTGCATTGTGTTAGTAAAAGTAAAGCTCGAGAAAGTGGGAAACGTACCAGCCACCAGGCACAATATTCCGGTGACAGCGTTCGACAGACTGCTCAATATCCATGGAAAAGTGGTTCAGTCCGTTGACTTCAAAAGTATCACCGATACTTCCGAGAACAAAGAGTACCTGCATATCAACGGGAGCGCCATTAGGTCCAATAGGCCGAGTGACGTTGTGTAAGAAACCCAAATCTCCAGTACGGACATAGCGCACGTTTGGATCTCCATCAATAGTCCTACCGTTGAAGCGTTGGGCATCCAACCGTTCCTTCGACATGTAGAAGCTGTACGCGTTCGCTTCGGATTGCACCCAGATCTCACCATACTCGCCCACCAAGCAAAGCTGGTTCGTCTCTGGGTTCACAATTGCTATTTGTGTGGAAACTGGCACCATGCCAGAATCCTGAACCATCAGGGCACCCGGCTCGGTATCTGGGTCGACGGGCATGATCAGACCTCTTCGAAGAGCGTTGACATCGAGATGTAGTTCTATTGGCTCGATACACATGTATGATCGCGATGCTACCATTGGGTTGAGCACATGAGAGTAGACTGTGTTAATCGCCGTCCGGTCCAAGCTTGCTGGTGAAAAGTGTACCCGTACTCTTGAGTAAACATCAACGCGCGGCCGACCATCAGTTGCAATCATGAGATTCTTGAGTTCGTGTAGAGCCATGTTCTTTCCAGCCCCACGCGCAATAGCGTGGTCAAGCATTTGACTGGTCGCGTACGCATCCTTGATCTTGTATCTTGACAACGTTTGGAAGAGTATGTTTGGATTTTGTGCAAAGTCGACAGGCGATACGAGGTAAGTGGGTGCGGCAAGGAAGATGCCCATGATGCAGGTGTGAATGAAGCCAAGTCCGATCGTACTTCGTACACATCCGAGGACTGGCCTTGTACTTGTCATTTGACAAGTCTCCTTCTGGACCTTGCCTAGTGCCATGATCTGGGTATGGCCTAGTTGTACTGCTATGCGGCGTTGATCTGGAGTCCAGTATGTCCATACAAGAACTGGGAAACCGGGCTGTACCCATGCAGGTCGTATTGTGAGCTTGAGATCCCGACAACCACTCGACTGCTTAGGTGGCTTGGTTGTGTTGTAGGTGTGCGGCACGTTAATCTTTAGGATGGCTGCTGATTGTTTGATATGCTGCGATACTTGCTTGACCTTCATGAGATGATCCACATCGGCGTTGACGAGGATGGCCTTGACCTTGAAGTCTGCAATGATGTGCAGCAATGCAGGTGCGTCCTCATTCAATCGGTTCTGGTCAATTGGCGCCATTGGTATGCATACAGCGCCAAGCACAAAGCATGCATGTACCGCATACACAAAGTCTTCCGAGTGCGTGTACATCAGAAGCAGATGATCACCGGTTTGCACTTTGACCTTGTTCTTCAGGTACATTGCGACACCCGCGACTTTCTGGTCGAACTTCTTCCAGTTGACGCCCTTGCCTTCTTTGCCTCGACCATCGACTGTGCAATATGCGAGCTCTTCAGCCTGCCGTGATACACGCCATTGCATGAGGTCGTGAATGTTTGAGAATTGGTTGAGAGGTGTCGATGTTCTGTCATCGATGACGACTTCGCGGTGATCTACTCCAGAATACTGCTTGTCTTGGAGCATCAAGAACTGCTGACGCGCCATCGACGCTTCAAATGACCACATGCCTCCGGAAGGGTCATCACCCAACGCGATGTTGAGAACTGATCTCTCAACACCAAACTTGACGTGGACACAAGGTAATGAGCCGTTATCAAATTCTCTCCGACAAAGCATGTTACCAATTTCTCGTCGACCGTTCTTAACAACTCGTGGTAATGTGTTCGGTGCTGTGATCATGACGCAGTATACTCGTAGATGGTGTTCTTGATACAGCACTTCCATGCATCGCTCAGACAGTGAATCTAAGAAGGGAATATCGAGTTGTTGTGGCGGTCCACCAGGATTGGTAGGGGCTGTTGATGCAGCCTGTGTCTCGATGAGAATGATGGGCAGGTATTCGCCATTGACGTACGAGTCGAAGGACGAGCTACATGGTGTTAGAACGCTCACCTAAAGCATGAGTACACTTACCAGTCGTAGATCTTGGGAACGGCCTTCATGATACTGGTGACGAGGTGCTGCACGAAAAAGTATCTGTGTTCAGCTTCCAGTTGACCATGCTCGACCCATTCAACGCGCTGCCTGATGCGGTCTTCGTAGAGACCAAGGATAAACACCTTGCCCTCTACGACGAATCCGAGTAAGCCAGTTCGGAGAAACTCAAGCTCAAGCAACTGCGGGGTAGGACTGCCCTCCACAAAGCGGTATGGGCGGGCGTGGAATATGGTTTCAGTGTGCTTCTGCAATTGCCAGAAACCACCAGACAATGAAGGTGAGTCTACCCAAATCTCTCCAATCGAGTAGGGTGAACACAGGAGATTCGTCTCTGGATCTACGACGGCTAGCGTCGCATCTGGTATTGGGTATCCAAAAGCGCCAACTCGCATTGTGCCGGGCTCATTCGCACGTTTACTAGCCTCTTCTCCTATTGCAAGCACCACAACATCGTTCATCTTGAGCGCTTCCTTGTCTAGCAATATCTCGGTCAACTCTGTCGGACCCTTCTTTTTCTTCTCCTTGGTATTGCTTGTTGTACCGCCACCGATAAGACTAGAGTAACCAATCGCCGCTGCACCTTTGTCTTCGGCCTCATCTTCATCGTCAGATTCCTGCAGTGCTATGCTCAACGGACATCCCATGCGTTCTTCTCCACCTAACCAATCACGGACTGAGATGATCATGCCGCCATGTTCGGGAAGACATAGCATTGGCGCAATCAACTCTCGCGCTCTGGGGTTCCTGAGCGGTCGGAAATATCGATCTCCCAGAATCTCGTGAAATTCGCAGTCGACCGTGAGCGTATCTATCAAGCATATCTTGACCGTGGCAAAGTTGGGTTCCGTGTTCTTCTTGAAGTTCCTGGTAGCCATGGGATCCTGTTGGTAGTTGTACGCCGCACGCTTGAGGCCCGGGTAGTCAGCAATCAATATGTTGGATTTGTACTTGGTGATGAGGTGTGCATATAAACCGGGGGTCTCCATGGTTGCTGTCTCAAGCCACACAGTCGTATGCCCACCGTATACAGCGAAGAGAATACTCAAGATAAGACCGGCGCTCTCACGTGGGTCGAGGTAGGAAAGAATCACCTCGGTCGGTGTTCTGGTTTGTGCGGGTGCAACAAACTTGCCCTGTGCGTCCCGCAGGTTACTGCTGAAAGTGTCTTGACTCTGGGTGTTGGATGGTATCGTGGTAATCATGGCACTAATGCACGCCATCTGGTGCATGATGGTGCGATGGCTGAGAACGACACCACGCAAGTCACCGGTGGGTGCTCGCGAAAACTCGATATATGCAACCTCGGGCACTTGCAACGCTGGAGTATCGTCGTGCTTCTTGGGGTGATAGCTGCCAAACTCGTTCGTTTTCCACCATTCGACTCCACTCGGCCACTTGAGTCGATTCTGACTAATGTCACGGTGGAAGGCTTTAAGATTGTTATCGGTAGTCAAGGCGAGATGTGCTTGGGTGGTGGTCAAGAGGAGAATGAGCTTCTGGTAGTCGTCAACGCTATTGATGGGTACGGCCACAACGCCCGCGATGAAGCAACCCATTAGCGCTACCACGAACTCGATAATCTCCGTGTCCCTATACACAAGCGCCACGCGGTCGCCCCGGTATAGATTGCTCTTGTCTCTAATGACCTTTGCAACCTTTTCGGCTCGACTCGCCACCTTCTCCCAAGTGATGGATGCCGTCTCCTTGCCTTTCGAGTCGAGCACCCAGAAAGCAGTAGATCTTGGCTGCGTGCGACCGCGATGGCGAAGGACGGCTCCGATGTTGTCAAATTTTGACATTTTGACATTGTGGTTGTGCGGGTCGTATACGTCAAAGGGGAGGTCGCGGGGCTCTAGAGGCATCATGGTCTCAGCAGCGCCTCCAGGGAGATCGCTCGGATGCATCATGGGGGGCGGTATCGCGGCAGTGGGGGAAAAGGCATCGCCAGACGAGTATCGATTCGGGCCGCCATATGAGTCGCGGTGATCTTGCATCTGCTGGCCAGTGAAGTCTGAGAAATAACCCTGGTTGACATCCAACATCGTACTCCTCCTGCTGGCCTCACCTGGAGAGCCATATGTGCCGTCGAAGCCGCCCTGCTGGGTATCCGGGTTGAAGGCGTAATTACCCATCATTGTGGGCTCGCGCGAGTAGTTGTACTCGGGCGTCTGCGGTCGCGGTATAAAAGTCTCACTGCCCTGGGACAACTGAGAGGCATTGCGCTGCAGGGACGGGGTCCTCAGGCCTAGCTGCTTCTCTTGAAAGCGCCCCACCTGACTGGGCGGATATGCCATGTACTGTGAAGTGCCGGCGGTGCTCGTTGACGAGCTCGCATAATGCATTGACGTCCCCGCTGAGCCCTCATGGTGGGATTCTGGGCGCGGGAGTTCAATATGTGGCGGTTGGGGCTGTTGTTGGCCAGGGCCAGAGAGGGCGGCGAGCGATGCAGTACGGGAGCCGGAACCATCGCTTTGGGCAGGGCTCTGGTGGCGCAGGTCGCTCTGTAGTTGCGCCGAGAAGGAAGGACCCAGATACTGCGAAAGTAAGACGGTTCGCCGTTTCTCGTAACTGTGCTACTCGTTAGCGCACGTGGGCGTAGATGATGCGACGGCAATGGCGACAATGACAACAACAGCAACAGCGGGCGTATATGTGAAGGAACGGCTACCAACCCCTTTTGTGTAATGTCGCCTTCCTCGAGCTCGTGGTCCAACTCTTGCAGCTTCGCCTGCAACTCAGGGTTCGTATCGGTCATGGTGTCGTTCCGCGGCGGAGGTGCCGGTGCAGTTGGACGGAGCAGACGCGGTGTAGACTAGAGTGGACAGACTTCACTATGCCGTGGCCGTCGGCGACATGTCAAGCTCAAGTCAACAGGATACACCGTCTTTACAATCAATGTCGTCGCCTTTCATCCAGGCAAATGCGCGCGTCGAGGATAGCCAATGAGTGTGCGAAGGCGTACATTGGCTTCAGGCAGGTCAGACTGTCAGGTACGCGCAGGCCGTCAGCTTCAGCAGCCGACAGTATGACGTTTTTACCCCAGAGGAGCCGCTTTCTCGCTTGGCACCATGTCTCTATTGTTCTTCCTTGCTGGTCTTGGACCGCCGACGGCTGCGTTAGTCAGCAGATGCTGTTGTGCCTGACAAGCCATCAGCATGTGCCTCGGCTCGGGATGCTTGGATCATGCGCCGGAACGCGTCCGAGGGTGAAGACTGTTCAGAACGTCCTTGCCGGCTCCCCTAGCCTATATCATATCTGACGTCTCCGTCATCTGTTTCTGTAGACATTCATTTTCATTCTCGACATATTCAACACCATGGCCACGCTCATCAGACCTCCACCCGCCGACCCTTCGCAATCTGATATGGAGAGCGTTTTGGAACTGACATCACTTTCCGACATCGACCCAAACCTCTTCACCAACACGCGCCCACTATGGCATCCACCGGGTGCGCGTGGAATCTTTGGGGGCGCCGCTATTGCGCAGACGCTGAGTGCGGCGCAAAAGACGGTCGATCCAGACTTTACCGTACACTCGATGCACTGCTACTTTGTGCTTGCCGGAAATGCAGAGATTCCCATCATATACCACATAGAGAGGGTGAGGTCAGGAAAGTCGTACGCAACGAGGACCGTACAGGCGCGGCAACGCGGCAGAGTTATATTTACCACGACTATGAGTTTTGTGAAACAGAACAGTGGAGGAGCGAAAAAGGTCGAGCATGCTTACCCAATGCCCGACGTGCCGGGACCTATTGAGGATCTTGACGACCAAGAAGCCCACACCGATCTTACTCCTTTCCAAAGCCAGAGGTTGCCAATTGAAAATGGTAACTATCTTCACATGTCAATCCAGTCTTCTCAATCTGACCTTGACCAGACGACTCGGATAAGCCCCACACCAAAAAATGCCGCCAATGGATGCGTGCACGCGGTCGCATCTCCCCCGCCGGTGGCCACGAAGCCCACCTCAGTGCAATCGCCTACATGAGTGATAGCTACTTCATCGGCACCGTCGCACGCACCCACAAGCTATGGCGCTACTCGACCGAACGCAAGAACAGGGCAAAGTCGAGCATCGACGAGGACGTTCTCAAGAAGCTGTTAGAGATGGATGACGCCGAGCTGAAGCGCCAGAAATTTGACGCTGCCGACATGGAACGCATACGACGTTTGAAGAATGGCGAGGACATTGCCGATGTTGCTCCTAACCCGATGCCAGAGATCGGCATGATGGTTAGCCTGGATCATACAATCTACTTCCATAACCCTCGTAGCTTCCGAGCAGATGAGTGGATCTTCACCGAAATGGAGACGCCTTGGGCAGGTGATGGTCGTGGCCTTGTATTTCAAAGGATGTACACGCAGGATGGGACACTCATAGCAAGCTGCGTCCAAGAGGTAAGCATCTTCGTCCACGTGCCACAGATGATTTCACTGACATGTACAGGGACTTGTACGGCTGAAGCAGAATGACAGTAAGCTATAGACTAGCATGTTGCGGGGCAACATGTACCCGTGTGCTTCCATTGGCGCCCGTGCCGTCTTCGCTTCATCTGGCCAGAATAGACTTTATCTCTTTTAGTACAATTTTTGTTGTCATGTTGAATACCTCGGGTGGTACGAGATGAGATGAGATTCATGCCCTGTAGACTGTAGATAATAAACGTGTCTGTTATAGTACAATCTAAAGCACGTGAGTCAACCGAGGGTACTGCGGAAGTCGACGCTTGAGATCAGGGTCCACTAGCGCCGAACCGGCTCGGTGGCATGACCTTCCAGCTAGACATGTCTTTTAGATCAGCTCCACGATCCCCTAGACCTTTTCGATACATTTAGCTCCAACTTCGTATGCATTTGCTTTTGTAATTCTCCAATTCGCCCCTAAATTTCCTCCTGGTTCAGTGAAGACATGATAGCCAAGCTAGACTAGCGGACGTCCCGGAATACATCCAACGACCAGTCACACGATGCTGGAGGCTCCCAACCTATTTTGTACACAAAATATACAACCACAAATCTCCCAGAGGCATGAACGTCAAACAAGCGGCCTGTCTTAATTGCCGTAAGAGCAAAATTAAATGTCGTCGCGAGGAAGGTGCGCCCGTGTGTGAGCGTTGCTCGCTACAAAAGCTTGAATGTGTAATTCCGGAATTCCATATTGGCAGGCAGAAGGGCGTAAAAAAGTAAGGTCTGGTTCCCCGGAGATCCACGGAGCTAACAGCGTCAGCAAACGCTCCGGATTGGAGAAGGCGATTTACCAAGTCGAGGAGGCCATTAAGAAGCGCAAGTCAGATGCATTCACCAGTCAAAGCACGCTGCAACAATTACAACAGCTTTTGAATGAGGCGCAAAGAGATGAGGGTTCAAGTCGTGAAGCAGATACGTCGCCTGCATCAGATGCGCATGTGCATGCGCATGTATCAGCAAAAGATATCGCTAGCACTTCTAGTGATGATCAGCTTGCTGTCGAAGATGTTGAAAATCCACTTCAACTTCTCGCTCGCGCATCTGATCTGCGTATTGCTACGCCACAATCATATGACCCAAGCATCTCAAGCCCAGACGGCAAATTCAATGGCAGCGAACAGAGTGCTTACCTTGATGTGCATCACTTCTTCTTGCCTACAAAGGCACACTTGGACCAGGGCCCAGGTCTTGATCCGATAGATGTTGGCCTGGTAACGAAAGACGAAGCTGAGATGCTTCTTCAATAGTAAGTCACCCGATTCGAACGCCGACAGCAACTCACAAATCAAAGTTTCCACAAGAAATTGGCTCATACACGATGGGGCCTTGACCCTCTGGTTCATACCTTGTCGTTCGTTCGGAACCGCTCGGCTTTTCTGTTCACTACGCTACTCGCAATGACCGCCATCTTCTTGCCAGAGACCTCCGCCCTAGCTAAAAGACTACTCCTGCACCGCAGGTTTCTGGCTGAGCAGGTAATTATCCGCAAGTACAGATCTGTCGAGATTGTGCTCGCATTCATGGTGAGTATACCCTGGATGCCTCCAGGATCGCACGCGAGTGACGATGACACGAGCCATTACTTAGCTACAGCTCTGTCTATTGCGCTGGACCTTATGCTGGACAAGGTGATTACGCCATCCACCTCGTTTGAGCAGGAATTTGTCCGGAAAATCCCCAAAGCCGAGTGCCTCAACGCGAGAAAGGCACTCGCCATGGATGGGTTTGAAGATGTTGACCCGACTTCGGAATGGGGACAGCGACTTCTTCGTCGCAGAGAAAGAGTTTGGATCGCATTGTTCGTTTTAGAGCGAGGTGTATGCCTAGCGCGTGGCCGCAGCTACTGCGTCCCAAAGACATGTCTGATCATGTACAGCGACAAATGGCACTATCATCAGTACGCTGACGTCCAGGATGGATCGCTGGTTTCCATGGCCGTCTTACGCCGCGATCTCGACGACCTTTTTGCTGAAGTACGCACTCGTTGTGACAATTACGGCCCAGACGAAGGAGGCTCCAAGATTGCGCAAGAGATTGACAGATCCATTGAAGACTTCTTCGACAACTGGTCTAGAGCGTGGCCTTCAGTCATCAGTGATCCGGAGAGTAAGAGTTTACCTCCGTATGTTGAAATATTGGTCACGCACACGCGACTCTCAACATACTCGATGCTCTTGAACCATCCGAGCGCGCCTCCGGAAGTCAAGCGCTCATTCCGCAAATCAGCACTATCTTCTGCGCTCAATGTAATGCGCGCAGCTATCCAAGGCGAGTCGCGTCTGAAGTCTATGCCGAATAACACGGTCACGATGATCTGCTTTGCTGCGAGTGTAGCACTCGCTCTGAGTGCACCTGTACCTGAGGCAAGCGGCAATAAGAAGAGCCTCGCCCCAAGTGTGCGACATCTTATTGAAGATACTGCAACGGTCTTGGAACGTATCGGTAGTAAACCTAGCCACCGAAATGGCGCATCACTTGTCTACGGCAGGTTCTTGCGCGTACTAGTCAAACAGGCACCGGATATCGACTCGAAGCCTTCAGTGCCTCAGCATAGCCCTGCACTATCAATGGCAATACCAGCCCTCCTATCCCCGGCACACGTCGATGGTGCTTCGCCGAACAATCACACAGATCCCGTCACCGGTTACTGGTCGGACACGCTTGATTTTTCGGCCATGTCTTACAACGAGGTCAATGAGACGGTGACTAATTCGGATCTCTTTTCTGCAGCATTGCTTGACCTACCGTGGAGTGATAGCAATCCACTATGGACGGATTGGATGAGTCTGCCAGACTTCAACTATCCGTAAGGTTGCCACTCCGCCTGGCGGGTCTCCAAAGAACTACGATACTAGCCATATCACGTAGGCTTAATTAGCAACATTTCATTGCCGGTAAACTAGCTGTCACAAACGACCGACGAATCTTCTCAAGGTCCGCCTGACGAGACGGAACGGACGGAACTCGTGGTCCTGGTGGCGCGTCGGCACTCGCTCGGCATGTCCAGGGGAAAAGGACCCCGCTCCAAGCTCCCAGGTCACTCGATCATCGGCAGTTGATTTGATGCCGACTTTCGCAAGATGCATGACGTTAGAGCTATGCGCGGTTGTCGCATGCGCTCGATGGATTTTGTTCGGCATTCGACCGCACCAATCTCAGCCCGAGTGTCAACAAGTCGGTGCTTGTTCAACTTCCTTAGCACTTTATATGGGCTGAACTTGCTGGTTCGCTTCCCTGCCTCACAATGGACTCTTTACCTTCGTCATACCGGCTGCTCGCAGCTCTGCCTTCACGATTATGTTCTCGACGACCAATTCCAGCACAACTACGAGCCGCGCGCGCTCTCCCACCGCGATGGCAGCTCATAGGTCAATTACGAAGCATCAGCAAAAGCGCACCGACGATCGATCGCTCCAAATCAAAGCTCTTCAAAGATGCAGATGAAGCAGTCGCAGATGTACAATCAGGTTCCACAGTCTTGAGCGCTGGTTTTGGGTTATGCGGTGTCGCAGATACGCTCATTGGAGCTATGCAGAAACGTGGCCCTCAATCGTTACATTCGTTGACTGCCGTCTCGAACAATGCTGGCATTGAGGACAAGGGAGGGTTGGCACTACTCACGAAAAGTGGGCAAGTGTCTAAGCTCATTATAAGCTTCCTCGGAGCCAACAAGGCTCTGGAGAAGCAATATCTGAGTGGTGGCATAGAAATTGAGCTGTGTCCGCAGGGTACGCTTGCCGAGAGGATACGAGCTGGTGGTGCGGGCATCCCAGCATTCTACACACCAACAGCCGTCAACACCTTACTACAGGATGGACAGATTCCTGCAAAGTTTGACAAGGAGGGCAAAGCTATTGGTTTTGGCCAGAAAAGGGAGGTTAGAGAGTTCAATGGCAAGAAATTCCTCATGGAGACGGCCTTGACTGGGGATGTTGCAATCATTCGGGCGCACAAGGCTGATGAGGCTGGGAACTGTGTATTCAGGTAGGGAAACCTTCCATCGTTTTAGGTAGCTGCTAACCGTATTGATAGATACACCACTAAAGCCTTCGGTCCCATAATGGCCAAAGCCGCGCGCCTCACAATCGTCGAAGCTGAAGAAATCGTCCCAATCGGTACTTTTGACGCAAACGACATTGATCTTCCCGGTATCTTTGTCGATCGCATCGTTCCCTCTACAGCCCCCAAGCACATTGAAACCAAGAAGCTTCGCAGTCCAGCTGCATCAAAAGATACATCGTCGAAGAATGAAGCTACAGAACGTCGCGATCGAATTGCCCGTCGCGCAGCAAAGGAGCTCAAGCAGGGTTACTATGTCAACTTGGGTGTCGGTATCCCCACAGCCGCTGCATCGTTTGTACCCGATGGCGTCAAGGTGTGGCTACAAAGCGAGAACGGTATTCTAGGCATGGGCCCCTACCCAACCGAAGACGAAGTCGACGCAGACATTATCAACGCCGGCAAGGAAACCGTCACACTCCTGCCTGGCGCCTCAACCTTTGACAGCGCAGAGTCGTTTGGCATGATCCGCGGCGGCCACGTCGACGTGTCCATCCTCGGCGCCTTGCAAGTAAGCGCATCGGGCGACCTGGCAAACTACATGGTCCCCGGAAAGGTGTTCAAGGGCATGGGCGGCGCTATGGACCTAGTCAGCAACCCAGACGCTACAAAGGTGGTTGTAGCCACAGAGCACGTTGCAAAGGACGGGTCAAGCAAAATCGTCCAAGAGTGCAAGCTACCGCTCACAGGAGCAAAGTGCGTGAGCACTATCATCACAGACATGTGTGTGTTCGAGGTCAACAGGAAACGCGGTACTTTGACACTTACCGAGACCGCACCTGGTGTCAGCGTGGAGCATGTCAAGGCGAAGACTGATGCTACGTTTGAAGTCGCACCGGATCTCAAGACCATGGAGTGAATATTGAATTAGACTTGACGTATTTTTAACTACATATATATCATAGAAGGTTTTCGCTATCTTGCATTGCGTCCGTCACTTGTTGGGTGCAGTGGTGTGGTGTGCTCCACCGACCGGTGCAGATAACGCCAGCGCCTGTTACCGTGTCGTCGTGATGGTGCAGTATGCAGTGTGCAACAAACATCAGGCCAGAGCGCCAACGCCCTCCGCCGCTGCAGCAAGCATCATCCTGCATCCCTCTTATCGTCGCATTGCCTTCACTTTGCTCAATCTAGAACCTGTCACCGTGACCGCGCAAACTCAATCTCAAAATGTGTCCCGGGCTGACGGGTCTGCGCTACCACTACTGTACCGGTACGTATCGTGCGCGCGAGAGAAACGATAACGCTATTTGTACCAAGCATGTTGATCGGTAAAAACAAGCAAAAGACTAAGTGTGTACTTGGAAGCTTGACGTCAAACTCCGAGGAAAAAGAAACGTTGTCATTGTTGTGGGTTTTGGGGTGGGTTTGGAGCCAAGCGATGGACAGTGGTAATTGTGGGTTTTGGCCGGATTGGCAGATGGGGCAAAAAGGCTTCGCAAAGGCTTCGCAACGACCTCGGGCCCTGCCCAGCGTAGTGTATTTGTGAAGTTTGCGTTTTGGGGAAAGCTTGGCATGCTTGAATTGGATGTTTGTTAATTGATTGATGGTTTTCAGCTTATCAGTCAGCCTCAAATGTATTCTCACAGTAGTGTTTTCGACGCCAGCGCCCACACAGTAATACCTCTTACCTAACCTACCCTACCCTACCCCTCACAACACCCTCACACATACGGCAAGATAAGCCCATCATCCCTCTCCACACTCATGCCGTCCGTCCCGCCCAGTTCTTCATCATCCCGTTAATAACTATCGGCACCAAAACAACGTCCGGCAACCCCAAGCAAGGCTTATCCCAAACTAAGCACACGCACAAGCAACCAGCCGATCACTTAGCACATCGCGCGTGCAAGAGTAATGCAGCAACCTAGCATACATCTGGTAAGGAGGCGCCGCTGCAACCGTTCAGCTGCTACCGGGATAAGGACGTGTGTGGCCAATGAACGTGGGTAGTGGTACGGCCGTGCGCTGGGCCCCATGGGGTCGGGAGAGTCGGGAGGGGGGTAAGATTGGTGGTAGTGGCGGGCCTTGGTTGTCGGTCGAGTTGTGCGAGTCGTATGCGTACCGGTAAGTGGTGGTAGGTTTTTGGTGTTAGCGTGAAGTGGGTGGAGTGGATGTGGGAGAACTGGGAAGGTGGTGCGTGTGGTGCGGAGATGTTCGGTTGGCGGCGTTGGAGGCGTGGGCTTGGGGTATATAGGTTGGGAAGAAGGAATGTTGTCTGTCCGTGGGCAAAGGTACTAAGCTTTGGCTTTCTGTCATCTGGTTTTTCTTGGTATCCTTGGTCATCTGGGGTGCTTTCTGTCGGATTGACAGGTTGACGCGGTTCGCGTTTTTCTACACGTACGCTGCTTACACACTCCGTTCCGTTGGTTGTTTGTTTATTTGGCGGTGTACACGGCTGGCTGGCTGGTTACCTCGACGTTTTTTACTGCGGTTTCTCGACGACAACGACAAAAGAGAAGGCTGACTGAGTTGCGTCACAACGACGCAGACAACGAACGACCACTATGAGTTTTGCGCAGGAGAAAATGCACCAAGATGAGAAGCTTGAGCTGGCGAGTGGCGGTAGCGAGCAATTGGAAGCGGGGTTTGGAGAAGACAGCCACCTAACGAAGACATTATTATACAAGATGGATTGTCGGTATGCTTCTACGTTCCGCTCTACTGTTGGGTTGAGGAGCTGACAGTGCCGATTACAGTATCCTACCCGTCCTTGCGCTGCTCTTCCTCTGCTCCTTCATCGACCGTACCAATGTCGGGAATGCGAAGATTTTGGGGCTGGAGAAGGATATAAATATCAATGATCACCAGTATTCTATTGGTCTTTGCGTGTTTTACGCTACGTATATTGCGAGGTTTGTTGAAGTACACGTTTGTGTTGGTTGGATGATGGACTGACAGGTTGTGTAGTGAACTCCCATCGAACCTGTTACTCAAGAAGGTGTCGCCGAAGATCTGGTTACCGCTTTTGACGGCTGTCTGGGGTGTGTTGACAATGTGTTTGGGTTTCGTCAGGAACTTTGCCGAATTTGTTACCGTTCGCGCGTTGCTTGGTGTAGCTGAAGGTGGTTTGTTGCCGGGAATGGTATGTATACCCACATCACACACATACATGTATTCTTCTAACACTTCGTTCCTAGGTCCTCTACCTCTCCCACTTCTACCGCAGACAAGAACTCGCCCTCCGCATCGGCATTTTCTACACAGCCGCCTCTCTCTCCGGCGCCTTCGGTGGTCTCCTCGCCCGCGGTCTCAACGCCATAGGACCCGCCGGAGGCCTCGAAGGTTGGCGTTGGATCTTCATCATCGAAGGAATAATCACCGTCCTCGTCGGCGTCTGCTCCGCCCTCTTCCTCCCCAACTCCATCGAATCCGCACGATTCCTCTCTTCCACAGAAAAAGAACAAGCCCGGCTCCGGCTCGGCGCCTCCACCACCCACGAGCGCTTCGCCTGGTCCGAGATCAAACGCGGAGTCTTCAATGTCCAAGTCTGGCTCACAGCCTCTGCCTACTTCGCCATCCTCTCCGGCCTCTACTCCTTCGGCCTCTTCCTCCCCACAATCGTAAACAACGGGTTCGCCAAAGATCCTAACAAGGCTCAACTCTGGACTGTTATCCCCTACGCCGTCGCCTCTGTCTTCACTGTCATCGTCGCTTTGCTATCTGATCGCCTCGCCCTCCGTGGTCCCGTCATGCTGTGTACACTCCCCGTTGCCATCATCGGGTACGGTGTCATTAGCCAGTCTGCCAACCCCAAAGTTCAGTACGGAATGACGTTTCTCATGGCAACGGGCATGTACGCCACTGTCCCGTGTATTTTGTCCTGGAATAGTAATAATAGCGCTGGTCATTATAAGCGCGCTACTACTTCTGCGCTGCAGCTTGCGATTGCCAACGCGGGTGGCTTTGTAGCGAGTTTCATCTATCAGAAGAGTGAGAAGAAGGATAACTTTCATCGGAGTCATAGGATTATTCTTGGCTTGCTTTGTGCGGCTTGGGTTTTGTAAGTTCTTCTTTATTCCCCTGATTTCTTCTCATCCCTTACACTTCCTTCTTGCCTTGTTGGTATTATCACAGAGAATAGAGTGCTAACTGGTTTAATAGGATCGCGATGAATGTGGCGTGGGTGTGGAAAATTAACAGGGATAAGGCGAGGGGCAAGTACGCGGAGTTTGAGGGTAAGGGCGATGATAGGGACCCTGAGTTTATTATGGTTATGTAAACGACTTTGACATGAATGCAATGAAAGGCGTTTAACTGGCTTTCACTAACAACTTTCTTTGAGAGAATGATGGGTTATAAATTAGTGATGTATACTAGACACGTGTTGCAAGCATCAGAAGACCCGTAGATGGGTAAAGTGTATGCGTGTATGCTTTGTGTTCTACGTGTATGTGTGTATGCTTTGCGTTCTACGTGTATGAGTACGTCTATATGTTCTATATCTCAATATTGACTCTTTCCCCGTTTCTTCGTGTGTATGTATGCGTAAGTTGGCGACGAATATCAACTTGGTGACCATAATGCAACATCAAAGCTGACCATTTCTCCAGACAAGATGACAGACATCTATACCCCAGTCCAAGTCCCCCACTCTACTCAAACCCAGCAGGCTCAGGCTTCTCGGGGAAAGCAGGCGCATCAAGTCTAGAAGTGCACGCGGTCTTCCAGTTCTTAGGCGTATATTTATCCACAATAGCCTTGAAAGCGTCGAGTGTACAAAACGTAGTGTCGCCAGGTAGATGCTTTCCCTCTGCCTTGCATCCTGGAATCTGCATGACCTTGTCGTTGTACCGTAGGCGGACGTAGTAATTGTTGAGTTTCTCGCGTTGAGCCGGTGACAGCTCTGTAATAGGTTTGCGGGCTATGCCTTCAGGAGCGGGACTGGAGTTTGACGTCTTTGTGCTGCCAAAGAGGGAGGACCACCAGCTCTGACTCTTGGAAGCGGGATTTTGATCTGGTAGAGAGGGTAGTGCGAGGTTATCGCTGCCTCGCTTCCTGAACATTTCAACGGCTATGTGGGACGTAAATGGGGGCCATTTCTCGCCGTCAAAAGCACCCAGCGAGGTCAGCATGCCGGCTAGAGTCGTATCGTGGCATCCGGACATGGCAAAGCGTATGTCAGTTTCACCGCCGCGGCCTTTGCCCAGTTTTCCGTCTACGCCGCCGACTTCGACAATGCCAGAGTTTCCATTGTGCTCAACGCAGCCGACCATTCGGGAGGTGATGTCGCCCATTAGACCGCCGATACCGAGCATACGATATTCAGAAGACTCATTATAGCCCTGGTACCACTCTTCGACGGCGATCTTATCAATGATTGAGCGTGCCTTGGGGTCGTAGAACTCCTTTGGCAATTTGGTCTCTGGGCCATGAGCATCGGTCGCGTTTAGGGTATCCATAATGCCAGAGAGTCTTGGGTGGGAATCCACGGCTACCTTTTGCTCGCCAGGCATCCATTTGGAAAGAACTTTTGTGAGATAACGCATATCATCCGTGTCATTCCACTTATCGGCTGCACGTTGTGCAAACGCACGGCTGAGTTGAGCGAAACGCCTACAGCTTGCGTCATTGGGGAACAGTGTTTCGTCTGCAGGTGTCCTGGTGATGATTGTTGGAGGAGGAAAATCAGCTGTACGTGCAGATGGTGGGTAGAACCCCCAAAACGCTTGTTGAACCGATTCCAGAGCACGTGGGATTGGAGTTGCACGCAGGTAGATCATGTCGCTATCTGAAATGAGTTTCGGCATGAACTTGAGTTGGTCAACGTATAGGTGGCGTAGGCGTTCCCCAAGAGCTAAAGTAGTTTCTCGGCCCTTGTCTGTAAGTTCACCGGGTTGGCATATGGCATCGAATTCGCCCATAGGGCCAGATGCGATGACTGGGAATCGTTAGTATTTGCGGCGATGAGAGGGGGAGGCGAGGGTACCAGGTCCATCGTCGGTGCCAAAGGTTTCCAGTCTGCGTCGGTACTTGAGCTGGTTCCATTTGGAAAAGTCCTTGGTGTTTAGGATTACGCTTGTCAATTGGCGGGCAGAGTTGCAGTAGGGCCAGTCTGTATGGTCAGTAGTTGATCATGATGGCTGCATTGGGTCGCATACAAGGCGGTAGTCCAGTCTGTGAATTTTGTTAGTGGTTTAAATAGAATGGAAAGGAGTTGAGGCTTGCATTCTGGAATCGAGGAGATACAGGGCTTCTTTCGCCTTTGTGTCTGTCAGTAACTGGGTCGTGACACGCCAACGAGAAACTGACCATGTCGCATAAGCTATTGCGGCGATTAGTGGTACTCTACCACAGCTATTCGGGTAGTCTTACAATTTGTACTAGCTGCAGCTCAAGCTCCTTCGGATAAAGCTTCTCGAGCTCTTCCTGCGAGTAAAACTGTCTCGGTATCAAGGTCGTCATCTTGGTTTTGTCCAATCGCCCGATCTACAAAATTATAATAGAATAATAAGCCACCAGGCTCTCCGTACTCGGTTCAAGCACGGTGATCAGTCGAGTTGGAGAGTCATTCTTCTGATCCGTGATGAAAGTTGTCAGTCACGTGCAACTGTGGACGTCATGGCGTTTCATTGGCCGGCGTAATTCCGCGCGATTTCGCAAGCCACCAGCACAACTTTTGACTGCGCTCTTGTCCAGCAAAGTACTTAGGCAGTCGCTAGTTGAGCCTCACGTACCTCGCTCATACAGCTAGTTGCGCAAATGGATGTCTGATTCGCTACTTTAGGTACGTAAGTAATTGCGCTCAATTGCGCAAAGTTCGTACAGTTGACCAGCCAGCAGTATTCACACATCGCGCCCCCCGAGACATATCGAAACACTATGCTTAGTGCATATGTATGTCGACAATGCCGCATACGCCTTTCACGACGCATTGGCGTTGTCCCGCGCCCACAATGGCAATCTCGAGCCATAGTTTCGCTGAAAACACCAACGCAACAAGGTGGTGTTGAACATGCACAAGAGGAGGCGCAGACACAAGTTCGGGACCAGGAAGAGGGGGCAATGCCAAACTTACGGACGCACGGTCTTGTACGAGGCAGCCGGTATTCGGGTATGCTTCAGGATACAAACATCACTCCCGCCTATACTGGCGAAGAGGGCCAAGCAGCGGATCAAGAAGGGGCAAAACCTCGCTCATTACGACGAATATTGGGTTATGCTGAACGCATTAATGTGTCCCTGTTTAACAACGTAGATGTCGCCTGGAAGATGTTCAACGAGACCTATACTGCAAGGGATTGCAAGGCCTTGACCGACCCCCCTCAGGGCGATGTGTACTTATTGGAGCACGGCCGAGTTTTTCAACATGTCCTTCGCGCAGTCACCAAGAATTTTGCTGCAGGTAAAACAATAACAGTTACGCCGACCGCTGTGCTCTTCAGATATGCACAGCTTGGCCTTCTTCGCCCTGAGTACTGGACTGAGCCAACCGTGGAATATCTAACATACGAAGTTATTCGGGCCATGTATCCAAATCCGCCGACGCCTCAAAGAGACTTGCCTTCGTTACTCAATGAACTGCTTTCCGTTTGGAAACTCTTCTTCCAATGTAATGGGCCGAAGGAAGATCCTTTGAATTCCATTGCTTCCGATTGGCAGCTGACACCTATTGAAACACTCCCGGCACGATTTGACACTCCATTGTTTGGCGGGCGCCTGCAGACTTGTGCGCCAAAGTACGCCATCGGCGCGAGATTAGCTTTTTGTGCTGCATATTTGTATGATGTGGCGGAAGGTGTGGATGAAAAGACACGCCAGCAAGCCTTGCCTTTTCTGCGTCTTCTCGAAAGATTACTTGCTGGCTCAAGGTTAGACGGAAATTTCGTTCGTTCTGCGCGATTCGAAGAAATGCCAGAAGATATCCAAACCCAGATCAAGCAAGCGGTCTTCACGGTGCCAAGGAAAGCAATGATCGCCATTGGAAAATCGGGCGAAGCTATAGGTCCACAGGCTACGGATGATAAGAACGCTAACTTGATCGATTTCTATCTTAGGAGAATAGCGCGCGCAGTTGAGACTAAAAGCTCACCTGTACTACTGGATGGTTTGTGGAAACAGGTTGAAGAGGCATATACCAAGGACGGCAAAACTGCGATAGACCCTTTGATATACAACAGCTTCCTCTCTGGGTATCTGGTACTTTTCAACCCTCATCGCTCGATCGAGGTCTGGAATCACATGGTTGCAAATGGCGCTGGACCAGACATAAGATCGTGGGTTGCTCTTCTCGAAGGCTGCGCACAGGCAAGGGACCTGGAGGGTCTCAATGCAACCTGGACACGCATGCTCAACAAAGGATTCGAGCCAGATAACTATGCCTGGACGACGCGCATCAACGGCTTGGTGAGAAATCGACAAGTCTCCCAAGCCCTTGCTACGCTCGATGAAATGGGCAGACGGTGGCTCGCAGCCGAAAACCTCGCCAATCCATCCAAAACAAAAAAAGACACCATGAAGCCGAGCAAGGCAGTCAACACATGCACAAAGCCTTCTGTCGAGGTTGTTAATGGTGCCATCTCTGCCCTAGTACAGCTGCCTGCACGTGCGATGACCTATCAAAAACGTCTGGAATTCGTTCAAAAGATTCTAAGCTGGTCCACAAATTTCCAGATTGTACCGGATGCCATTACCTACAACTCGCTGATTCAGCTGTACCTGGGTGTGGGAGACAAGCGCACCGCTTTCATGCTCATCGCGCAGATGGAAAAACAGGGCCTACAGGGAGACGCCGCCACACACAATATGCTCATCACGGCTGCTTTTGACAGCAACGTCTTTGATGGGCTATCGGAGCAAGAGCAGACAAGCAAGATTTTGAAGATTTTTGACAACCTGGAAGAGTCCCGGTATGCAGGCAAACCACTACATCTATTCCACGGTAATTGATCGCCTGCTCAAAAAATACTCCAACCATAGCGGCGTTCGTGCCATCATAGAACACATGACAGCTCGCAGTTTTACCCCCTCGGCGCATGCATATACGTCCATCATCACTTATTACTTCACGTCGAAACCAGCCAAGCTAGCAGAAGTCGACGCTCTGGTGCATCACCTTTTCACGGATCCCTACGCAGCCAAGGATCGCGTCTTATTTGATCGGCTAATCGAAGGCTACGCGGCATTCAATGAAGTGGGCAAGATGATGAGCGTTCTTGCGCGCATGTCTAAGGACGGTAGACTACCTGGCTGGGAAGCTCTCACTGCTGTTGTGCGCGCTCTAATGCAAGACGGCGATCACGAGCGCGCGCAGGCGATTGTCCGCGACGTTGAGCGCGGCGAGGGTGTTGCCAAGGGCGGTATTTTGGGTGACGAACGAGGCCGGAGAGGTTTCATGGCCATGGTGAGGGAGTATGGACTTGGGGATGAAGACCAGCGCATGGGCGAATTCATGAAGAGCCCGGGGCATGAACAGGGGATAGGTTACGAGCAAGGTGGAAATATGAATGAGCAGCAGCCACCTGTTGCTGACACTACGACTACAGAGTGGAGGGGCGATGCTGGGACTCCAGATCAACAAGAGGGACTGGGCGAAAGAAGCGGAGATGCAAGACCGTACTAAATCTCCAACAAAGAATACTGTAAAATATGAAAGAACTGTTACACTATAAACATACATATCAAACCAAATCAACCTTACGCCCACTCATCTCAAAACCCAGCTCTCGTATCTCTAAACCTCTTACCCACCCCGTCCCCTGCTCTACTATCCTCCAAACCACCCTTCCACTTCACCCACACACTCCGCATGTTTTGTCCCGTTTCCAAATAGCATGTCCTACCCACTCACTCTATCCCCAACTAGCGGGGTTTCGCCACGCTATTATCACGGTCACCAATATCCTAATCGAGCCAAAACAAGGCTTTCTTTTTTCTGTGCATGTGCATGTTGGGCGTATGACCGTACTGTAAGCGCGGGGGTACAAGACGTGAGGCGTGGTGTGGTGCAGTGGTAGTGGTAGTGGTGCAAGGGTGGGGGCTTGTCTGTACGGTATGGGATAGAGAGGGGTGCGTTTATGCGTTGGATGTTGTTTGTCCATGGTAGGTTGGGTGATAGTACCGTGGATGTGGGTTCCTCTATTTGTGATGTGAGGTGATGTGATGTGAGGGGGAAAAGTAAATATGCACGAGTCAGTGGTTTGTAGGTTGGTTGGTTGGTTGGTTGGTGAAGGAGGGGGAGGAGGGGGCGTTGGAGGAGACTTTGCATGGATATGTCCAAGTTCTGATACTGTATCAAGGTGCTGCTTCAGTATACACTAGGTATGATGGTCATAACAGCATACCTATATAACAAGCGCACACCACGACGCCATCACGTGTGAAAGCCTCGCCTCGCCTCACCCTTTCCCACCACCCTCCCCAGCCCTACTTACGTAGGAACAGAAATGCATTAGAAACACAATTATTCAGCCTCAGCTCACATGCGCTGAACTGAGACAGGACACAGACACAGAAACAGACACACAAGCGCGCGGTCTTGTCTGTCTCGAGCTTTGTGCGCGCCTGTCTCATGTTCTCAACAAGTTTTGTCAGTGGCAGTCGAGTTTGTTGTGCATGCGGCGGATACGATGTGTGCTTCAAGCTTGTTTGCGACGGGTGTGGAGAGAAGAGGGGTTAAACGGGGGACAGCAAGTCAGCCAACGTGCGCTTGTTGTTCATCTATGTATATACGTGGATGCTGTACACAGTGCAGTACATACAATTTGCACCGCAGATTCAAGCTTGTACCTACCTAATGTAGGTAGGCAACCGCGACAATACAGTACCACATTAACAATTGCAATGCATGCAGCGATGATGCCGTCTTCTAGAAAACCGATGCGTGACAAATTTCTAGAAGATGGTGCTAGGACCATCGGGGTCAGGGTGCGGTTTGGTCATGGTCATGGTCGGGTCCCACAGACCCCTTTTCCCTCTCTGTTCTCCGTCCGGTCCAGCAGCGATCCAGGAAAAAACGCCTAAACGGGCCGAATAACTTCCCTATCAAACTGCACATCACCACTTTCCCGTCCTAATTGGCTTGTCCAGCCTGCCAACCTGCTCTACGGTACCTACCTTGCCTGTCTCACAACGTTTGTGACATGTTGGTATGTAGGAGTTGGCGCCGGCGCAATCTCGAAGGGTCGTCGCGTTTTCTCTCTCCACCTATGTATGGCCCAAGACTTTCAAGTCCGGGAGAGTTTCTCAAATTCTGTTGGCGACATTCTTTTCAGAGATTAATAGTGGGTTAGCTTACTGGACCGGTACCTGGAAGGAAGGATCCGGGAAACGAACTGAACGGCCGCTGATGTCATGTGACCGAGGGACCGCCTTCGGGCTAATATCGCGCGGAAGGAGCCGGCGGACGGTTGCGGGACCAGCAGCACGGCAGCTGGAAAATCGCGTGACGTGCCATTTTGTTCGCTGGGGGGGCAGAATAAGGTTTGGGACCATGATGTCATTGTCTTTTTCTTCTTTTCTTTTTTTCTCGTCTCGTTGCCCTGACTGACCTGGTGAGCAAAAAGTCTAGGTTGTTGACGCGGCGGCGCGACGTGTTCCTGAACCAAAAATAGTAGTCGTGAACTTCTTTTACTGTTTGTGGGATGGTGAAATGTGTTATTATTATCTTCGTACCTTCATACTTACCCCTCACCGCCAGGTTTTTTGTCTTGGCTACAGGAATTTTGTTTATCAGGAATGTGAGAGAGGATGAGTGCATTTGTGCCAAGGAAAGTCAAGAGGCGGTTTGCTTGCCTTTGTCTGACAGGCCCAGGGCTGAGGGTTCGGAGGCATGGCGCTTTGGGCGAGGGCCGATGTAAGCCCGACGGTTAGGTATTACCCTCATTGTCAGAGGGCAAAGGATGCAGTGATCGATGCCAATCTTTGTTCCCCAAGTCTTGGGGGCTCGTAGCTGGGGAGTCGAAGTGCAGTTGGAGAAGGGGGTGACGCGGCTTTTGGTGTACTGCACCAAGCGTGAGACTTGTACCCAGTGACAAGTGGTTACTTTGTGGCGCAGTGCAATCCTTCTTGACATAGGGCTGGCGAAATAACGGGTATCGTGTCAATTGAGTGTACCAAAATCGAGCTCAATGCAGATGCAGATAGACAGGGTCTGCCCAGTGGGTGAGCTTGATAATCTGCTTGTGCAGAAAGTAGATTCGCCGTTCTTGTTGGCTGGAAGATGCCGACGGGGACTAGGCAGTGACAGGTTTGATGTGTTGATCCAAGACGAGCGTTTCGCAAATGGGGCATCGAACATGGCAGAGCCAGTGGTACCTGCTACGCTGTGGAATGTGAAGCTTTCATGATGCTGACTAGGCTGATGGTGTCGACAGCCGCAGCTTGCCGGGCTCGCGATTGGGAAAGAGCGAGATGAGTGATGGAGCTAAGACGGAGGATGGTAACTTTGTACGGGCTTCCGGTATAGTTTGGAAGCAGTGATGCTGACGGACGGGCTGTACATGTCAATGTGTGGGCTAGTTGGGGCGCATATCACTCTGGTGAGTAAGAAGCTGAGGCTAGAATTGAGGTGACTACGAGGACCCGCATGCAACTGCTGGATAGATTGAGCCGGCCAAGGCGTCGTAGCTACGTATTTGTGCCGTATAACAATTTAATGTGCCGGTGGACGAATAAGCAAATATACAGGATAATGGTTGTCCACAAGGAGCAAGTCTGCACTTAAGCACAGCCTCAGTGGTGGTGCAGGCTGGCGTACTGTGATTGGCGCGCACGGCGTTCGGGGTCGGTCAGAGGCCGCCGACGGTGCATGAAGTGCGTAATGCGGTAGAATGTAATGCAGAGGAAATGGCTCACTGTGTCTCGGTGTGCCGCGGGTAGACAGCGTCCACATCCAGTGTGTGGTGAGGGAGACGGCGCCGACGTCGCAACAAGAGATATCATGGCAATACATTGGCCAGGTATTATGCTCGCAAGGGAGATAGCAGTGATGCCGAGAAGGTCAGGGGGAGAGCTTCTTGGCCAACAAGCCGACAAGTGCTGGGCAGTGATCGCCCCACGGCTGACCAACCGGGTTTAACCTGCTTCTTCTATTTCGAGAGGGGGCGACTCCGCCTCCATGTGAAACGCCTCCCCGACGGAGGGTGGGCCCACGCAGAAGAAGACGTTGAGCACCCTCATTCTCCATCGCTCTGCTCATGCCCTCCCATACCCTTCATTCACCACGCCAAACTCGATACACCTCCCCCCCCTATCCCGCTTATCATCAACCCAAGACGCTCTCGATAACAGTTTCCCGTCGCCCAACAAGTCCGGACATATCGGCACAGCCACACTTCCGGCACACCCGGGATCACAGACAAGCTTACGACGACTTTGCAGCCGCCTAACCGCTCCTGTCAGGCTCGCATTGCCCGCGATACAACATCCCAAGACATCCGCGAACCGGCCGAAAGACTGCCCCAAACAACCGGCGGCCACTCTCGACCAAGTCAAACAAACAACATGGCTACCGCAGTCCAGTCTGCGATGACCATGGCGCCATTCAACGGCCACCCTAACCAATGTGTCGACCCCAACGAGTTCTTCGACTTTGGACAGATGCCCTCGCCCACACAACCTGCCACACTCAAGAGAGAACAGAGTACCATTTCAAACATCAACAGCCCTACTAGCACAAACATCGACGACGACCTCCAGACGCCCGCAAAGCCTAGCCACGAGTACGAGCGCTTCAAGCAGCAGACGGGCCTCCCCTCGGGCTCCATTGCCGGTCTCAGCGCCGGGTACAACCCGGGTTTTGCTGCCTTCTCGTCCACTGGTTTGGATGAGTACGCCATGATGGGTGGCGACTCCACCATGGACGGCACCTGGGGCAACGGCCTGCCCATCGACGTTGGTATGAACATGGGAATCGACTACCGCCAGAACAGCTTCGTCTACAGCGAGGCCTCGCAAGACGACTTTGTCGACCCTAGCGCCATCACCCAGGACACGCACCAGCCAAACTCAAACGTCAGGGTCTGGCCCGGTATGCATCAACAGGCTGCCCTCGCCAAGGCAGCAGCCCAGCAACAACAGCAGCGCGTCGCCGCTCAGCAACTAGCCCACCAGAAGCAACAGCAAGCTATGCAACAACAGCAGCAGCAGCAACAGCAACAACAGCAACAACAGCAGCAGCGCAGCCGAGTAGCGTCCACCAGCCACGCCGGTCGCAAGACGGCCAGCCCTCTTAGCGACGCCCACACCGAAGAGATGATCACGCGCGTCGTCGCACAGATCCGCGCTGACAGCCAGAACGCCTCATCATCTATGCAGGACAATAACCAAGGCCTTTTGCCCCACATCATTCGCGCAAAGAAGGACGAGGAGGACATGGACGAGGACGAGAGGCTGCTCGCTTCCGAAGAAGGAAAGAAGCTCAGCTC